ATTCTGTTTAATGGCCAAAAAGCCACACAGTTCCCAAGATTCTTCAGTTTGAGGACCCAGTTAAACCTGGATTTACAAACTTAGAGTATTCAAGATCAATTCTCATTTAAAGTTTTGGTTAGAGACAAATTACTTAAAAGCAGGTTTTTAAAAAAAAAAAAAAAGGTCTGTGCTCGCTTCCTAACTGCTTCCCTGCGTAAATTATCCTTCTGACAATTCTGCTTTTCATTACAGAAGCAGCGTTATTATCAAGGGAAAGGAACTCATTCAAATTAATTGGTTGAGGAGGGAAATGGACACAGACACATGTTGCTGTTTCAAATTTGGCCACTAGATGTCGCCTGGAACCATGCTATAACAAACTTCCCAGGCTATAATATATGCATGTAAAAACTGCATATCCACTAATTTTAAAATTTTGCATTCTCTAATGGGTCCCCATCTTGCTTATTAATCTAGAGAAATACTGATAGCATTCACTATATGAAACTCCAGCTAGGAAGATTATCCTGAAACAACAAAATATTTGGGAGTTTTGATGGCCACAAAATAGTGTTTACATTTCAGGTAGGAACATAGGATTTTCCTCAATTTCCCCAATTAGTAAGAAGTTGTCATGCTGGTACATGCTTAAAAGTGGGTAACCTTCACCTCCTTATCCTATTCTCAGGAGATCTTATTCAATGGAAGCCTGTCTCCATGAAGAGCACCCCCATAGAGAGAGATTTTAAATTTTATCTATATTTCCCGAATTCAAAATTTGAAGCTTCAAATACAAATAGAAATGCTCAAAACAAACATAAAACATACAAGATTAATCCTCACACTTACCCTTTCACTCAAAGAAGATCTATCTTGGTCAATATTCAGGTGGAGAACCTATCCACAGTCACAGAGTACCTAAAAGAAACTTTCTTTGTGAAGATATTCCACTTAGGCCCGATAGAATAGGGGGAGTCTCTGATAAGGAATTGGGGTTCTCCTACCTAAATCCCACTTCTGACACCAAGTGTCTCATTTGAAATTTAACAAAGAGATAAACTGAGGAAAATCTCTGAGTAAGATATCCTTTATTTTGAAGGGCATGTGACCCTATATAGGACCCCAAATTGAAGGAATAATACATTTTTATAAGCATAGAACAAAGAACAGAACAAAAGTCTTCTAATTGGCCAGCATCACAGAGATGAAAGACCATTATTGGCTGCTTCCAAGAAAGTGGGTATAGCTCACAAATGCCATGAAGACCACCTCTCACTATCTCTAAGGAATGCTTTAGAAATTTATAGGTTTGAGCTACTCCCTGAGGTCCCTCATAAGGGTAGTCTTATTGGTGACTGGAGAACTCATTAAGATCACCTTAATTGTTAAAGATGGGACAAGATCAGGTTATGCTAGCTTCTCAAGGAGATGCTGAGACAATGTTTTATAAGAGTTTTGAGAACAGAGTTTTTCTTTAACTAACTGCAATTGTATCCTTAGAAGGGGCGGTTTAGACTTTGGCATACCTAACCTTCTCCACTAAAACCTCAGAGAAAAAGGCATCCAGTTTTTTAAAAAATCAAATATAAAATATGGGATAAAAATTAATTTTCTCAATCACTAGCTTTCAACTGATCAATTCTAATTTTAAAGGAATTTTTTTGTAAGCTTCTTCACTTCATTTTCCAAGCTGTTAATTTTTCTTTTCATATCTTCCTTCCCTAGTTCTTGCTTCTTTTCCTATTTTTTCTTCCACTGCTCTCATTTAGGCTTTTTTAAAAGTTTAAATAGTATACAAATATTGATTGGTATACTGATACCAGTGATATCACAGGGCCAGTCTCTATCTTCTATCCTTTAAGGCTTTACATGTTTATATGATTTGATCCTCTCAAGTAGTCATGAAGTAGGGGTCATTAATACTTGTGTTTCAAAGAGATCAAAGAAAGAGGGAATGGTATCACATGTACAAAAATATTTTAGAAGTCTTTTTTATTGTAGCAAAGAACTGGGAACGAAGTGATTGCCTGTTAATTAACAAAAGGCAAAACAAATCATAGCTTATAAATATAATGGAATATTATTGCTCCTTATCAAATGAGGAAAGGGATGGATTCAAAGAAACCTGGAAAAACTTGTATGAACTGAAGAAGTGAATTAAATGAAACAAAAGTAGGAAATAGTGAAGAAAAACAACTAGGAAAGACTTAAGAAACTCTGATCAATTGTAATGACCAATCAGTTGTAAAAGACTGATAATGAAACATGCTTCCCACCTCTTAGAAAGAGGGACCAGATGTGTAGAATGAGACAACTTCAGACACAGCCAAGATTTAGATTTGTTTTTTGTGACTATACTTTTTTGTTATAAGGGAGAGTTTTTCTTTTTCTTTTTCTTTGAAGGGAGTATATTTTCAGGGGATGTAATGAGAGCAATGCTAAAAAAAAAAAAAGAAAAGAAATTACATTAAAGAATCATTTAAAAATAAATAGAAGAAGAGAATTCAGAAAGGAATACAGGTAATCAGAATTAACTACATTAAGTTTGAATTATGAAAAAATCCCCCAAATTCTATGTAGTGGAAAAAAACTTTAATACATACTAGAAATTCAGTTTCATATACAACCCCCTTTATCTTTTATATATTTAAATGTTCGTGTTTGTTGGCGTTTATTAGATGTAAAAAAAGGTAATTAAATATATTAAATGTAAAGAGGGAAGGGATGGGAAAGGTTGCTTTAGACATACATGGAGATGTTCATCACCCTTCTGCAGCCTATCATTTTTTTCCAGTGTAATGGAAGGTCCTGACTGGCTAAGACTCCCACCAACTTACTGCAGTTCTTCTAGAAAGAAAGATGGGCATGATTGGCTGATAGATCCTACCTAGATAACTCAAGAGACACTTTCCCAGAATCCCAAGTTAAGGTGGCTATAGATTGATGACTAAAGTTGCAAGGAATATAATCAGGTACTATTGTCAAGAAACCATTATTCAAATCAAGATATTAGAGATCATATACATTCCAACTTGTCCATTTCACAGATAAACAATCTGAAACTCGGTATGAGTTTTTTCAGTTGGTTAATGGAAGAACCGTAACCAGAATCCAGACCTGACTTCAAATTTAATGCTCTTTCCTGTTGTATTGTGATGCCCCTAACTATTCCATCTAGTGTTGCCCTTATTGCTCGTGACAGTAATAATAATAATAATAACGATAGCTCTTAACATTTATTTATATACTGCTTTAAAGTTTGCACAAAACTTTTATAAATATTGTCTTACTGTATCTTCACTACTGCCCTGGGATGTAGGTGCTATTAGTAGCCCCATTTAACAGATGAGGAAACTGAATGGCTAAGGGATAAGAACATAAGCTGTCCATAATGTTTCCTGAGATGGCCCTTATAGTTCAGTTCAACCTTGTATACACTCATAGCAAATGAATACAGTCAAGCAAAATAAATCCATTCATTAGCTGTGCCTGAAAATGTCTCACTCTGCATTTCTAATCCATCACCTCCTCGTTAGGGGGTGGAAAACATGATTCATCCATCATGAGTCCTCTATGGTTGTGATTGCTTATTACATTCATCAGAGTTATTGGGTCTTTTTCACAGTTGTTTTCCTAAACATTGTTGTAGTCTTGGTATAAAATGTTCTCCTGGTTCTGCTCACTTCATTCTGCATTTGTTCATACAAATCTTCCCAGGTTTCTCTGAATCCATCTTTCTTCTTTTCATAAGGAGCAATAATATTCCATTACATTCACATATTCTAATTGACAGTCTTTCCCCAATTTATTGGCACCCATTTTGATTTCAGTTTTTAAGCACAACTTCTTCCCCCTCCCCATTTATTAGTATTTTTTCCAATTACACATAAATATAGTTTTCAACATTCACTTTTATAAGATTTTGAGTTTCAAATTTTTTTCTCCCTACCAGCCCTCCTCCTTTCCCAAGATGGCATGCAATAGGCTATGCAAGTACAATCATATCAAACATATTTCCACAGTAGTCATGTTGTGAACGAAGAATCAGAACAAAAGAGGAAAACCACAAGAAAGAAGAGAGAGAGGGAGAGAGAGAGAGAGAGAGAGAGAGAGAGAGAGAGAGAGAGAGAGAGAGAGAGAGAGAAAATAAGTATGCTTCAATCTGCATTCAGACTCCATAGTTCTTTCTCTGAATGTGGATAACAATTTCCATTAGGAGTCTTCTGGAATTGTCTTAGATCATTGTATTGCTGAGAAGAGCTAAGTCTATCAAAGTTGGTTATCCAACAGTGTTGCTGTTACTATGTAGAATGTTCCTGGTTCTACTCACTTCACTCACCATCGGTTCATATATGTCCAGGTTTTTCTGAAATCCACCTGCCCATCATTTCTTATAGCACTTCTTAGCATTTCTTATAATATTCCATTACATTCATATACCACAACTTGTTCAGCCATTCCCCTCAATTTCCAATTTCAATGGGCATCTCGTCAATTTACAATTCTTTTCCACCACAAAGAGAGCTGCTATAAATATTTTTGTATATGTGGGTCTTTCCCCCTTTTTTATCTCTGTGGGATACAAACCTAGCAGTGGTATTCCTGTGTTCACAACTTTCTAAATCAAAGGTTCTTGCCCTTTTTTGTGTGTCATAGATCCCTTTGGCAATCTGGTGAAGTCTCTGGACCCCTTCTCAGAATGTTTCTTAATGTATAAAATAAAATAGACAAGGTTACAAAGAAAACCAACTTTATTGAAATACTTTTTTTTTAAGGTTCAGGTTAGTTCTTGATTCAACCCTCCTGATCCTACGCCTAGTACTAACATAGCTGTTTTGTATGTAACTATGTATGTACATATTCTGTTTGTCTCTCCTAATACAATATAATAAGCTCTTTGAGAACGGGAACTGTATTTCTTCCCCAGCGCTTGGCGCAGTTCCCGGCACAAAGAGTTGCTTAATAAATGCTTATCTTCTCCTACCTGCCCTCCCCCTCCCCCTCCCCCACCCAACTCCCACCGCTCAGCAAGGCTGAGATTCTGACCCGAGACCCTCCGTAGTATCAGCCCTTTGTGACGTTTAACCCTTTCCCTATAGTGAAGGGCCAAGTGGGATGGTGAAGTCCCAAACCAGCCGCCCCGCGCTAGCGGGAGCAAGGAGCACCATGCCCGAGACAACCGATCCCGATGGCGTTTCTAAAGAGATAGTCCCAGAATCGTCGGAAAAGCCTCAAGATACACAAGTGAAGCATCGCCGGCGGTCGGTGCTCCGAGTTTCCCAGCTCCTGCTGCGGGCCATTGCCGCCCACAAAGGACTGACTCTCACAGTGCTCAAGAAGGAATTTGGCAACGCTGGCTACCAAGTGCGCAAGAAATGCAGCCGTCATTCCGCCGAGGTGCCCAGGCCAGCGTCGGTGAAAGGCACCTTGCTCCGGGTGAGCGGCAGCAAAGCCGAGGGCTACTTCAGAGTCTGGAAGAGTCCGAAGCCAATCAAGAAATGTACTAAGAAAACATCTGCGGAGATCGAGGAAGTGAATCAGAATCGCTTCGAGTCCCTGTTTGCTCGCCGGTATAGGAAGCCTCTTGAGGAGGATTGCCAGTCCGACCCAGGGAACTCGTTCAAACCCGAGACGCCCGAGGGGCCCGAGACTCCCGACCTGTGCGAAACTCCTCATTCATCCAAGGAGGAAATCTACGTGGAGCAAGTAAATGAAAACCCTGAGGATATGGAGGAGGTCGCGCTGAGCTTGGTCCCCGGATACTCCCTAAGCCAGAAGGCACCTAAGAAAACGAGGGCAGAGATGGGGCGCAAGGCGAAGCAGCGAAAGATAAAGGAGATGAAGATGAAGGAGAAAGCGAAAAACCAGTTGAGGTCGACGGAAGGATCAAAGAGGCCAAAGACAAAGAAAGAGAAGAAAATGAGGATTGAGGAGAACAATAGAGGGAACGAAGACAAGAAAATGAAGCCAAAGAAGAGAAGGGAGAAGGTGAGGGAGAAGAACGTAGACCCGGAGAAGCAAGGGAAACATAAATGCCGCCGGAACTATTGCCAGAGATACAGCCCAAACCTGAATCTCGCATCAGCCACGTCGAGCAAGATCCATGAAGGCCATATGAAGGCTCTTGATGGGAGAACAAGGCGACCCTACAAAGTTTGACCCCAAAAGGATTCCTGCCGAAAAGAAAGAGCACGAAAGATATGTGGACATCCTTAGTGTTTGGAGGGGAATCCAGAGCTCTTGAACTGGGCTCTCGTTCCCACTCAGACCTCCTCTCGGAACAATCTATGCACTCACTGAGTGAAATGGTAGGGAAGTATTTACTATACCTTTTCCCGTGGTCTTTGTGTCATTTTTTTTCTTCTTCCTTTAATGCTCTGGGAGTGGGACACAGGGAAGGGAAAAGAAAGGTGAAGTAGGGCTGGGTGTGTGGGAAAGTGGAAGATAGGTGAACGTCTCTGGCCATCTGGGATCAGCTTTCCTTGCTTATTATAAATCTGAATAGAAAAAAAACTCAAGAAAGGGGAGAGGAAAGAAAGACTAATGCTTTTTAAAACGTGGGTTTCGTTTTGTGTTTTGTTTGTTCTTTAAATGAAGAGAAGGAATTACCATTGCTTCATTGTGACAGGTAAACTCAGGGATGGAGATCAAGTCAGTTTAACACACACTCTTGGCTTACCTTTGAAACACACTGGGCTGACTTTACCAATTAGGCATAACCTCATCCATTGTGTGGTTTGCAAAAAAGTTGGACAGTTCTCTCACATACAAAAATGTCTGGGTTGAAATTCCAGTTATGGTACACACTCTCACAAAACTCCCCTCCATCAGAAATGGTTGGGGACATGAAGTTGACCAGATTTTAAAATGCAATATTATGGAGTCTTCATTACCTTTCAATATTTAACATAAGGCAATGAGCATTGCCTTTAGCACACAAATAATTATATTGGGGATCCCCAAATGAGAATATTATTTTAAAAATGAGAATATTATAAAGGTGGATATGATAACCAGACTGCAGAGTAGAGATTCTGCTTGGGGGAGGGGGGAGGAGTGGAGTTATGAAGCTATAAGGATAGGTAGTTCAACGAACTATTAAGAGCCCAAAACTCTGTGTAATGATACACTTATGCCCTAGAAATAGGATGCAAAAAAAAAAATCAAATCTCAATATATTTTCATCCAGAGTGTAAGGTTTGAGAATAGTCTGAGAATAGTGTGTATGTCACAGACCAGAGGGGAGATAGAAACCAGGATTCCAATGACAGAAACCAGGGAGACCTCAGTTGAGTGCGTGAGGTGGTAACCATGTAAGGATTTAGAGATATAATAATAGGATAGGGAGGAGTGGGACTACTTGTAATGTGGGAGTAAAGTCCAACTGGCTGTTTCAGGGTATCTCTAGACTGACAACCTTGGTAAGGGTTGCTCCAGTCCCAGGCCTGAGTGTTGCAGGTTTGTAAACTTATTTTTTAAAGCACTTTATGAAAACTCAAACGATTCTGGAGGTCTGATTCACAAAACTCATGAAAAACTAATATACTCCAGGACCAAGCTCAGCTCTACCTCCTCCACCAATTTACAAGAAAAACCCCCAGGTGTTTTTGGTAAAGAGTGGGTGATAGTTATTTGAAAAATAGTACACCCAAAATAAGAAGAGGGGACTTGGAATGAGGCTGGAATGGAAGGCTGGGCAAAGGATGAGATATGTGAAAGAAATGTTTGTGTGGTATATAGCCTTAGTCCTTGTCCATGTTTAGAGAAAAGAGGCAGGACAGTAGCAAGAGTCACAAAGGCAGCAAAGAACAATATGCTGGCAAACCTTCAGAAAGTTAAATTTCTCAAACTGGAGGATGTCTAAAGAAGACTGTAAACTGAGAGTGAAAACAAGAAAGTAGCTTTTTTTAAAAAATCTGGTAGAGTGACCCAGAAGTTGCAATCACAGCCAATCTGGGTCAAATGAAAACAATATTCAATGTTAGATCTCCTAACACTTAAGAGCTCCTTCAGCTATCCCTAAATTGGGGGTGAGGTAGAGAAAGATTAATAGAGGCCCTAGGAAGTTTAGACTTAATAGCAGTGCTCTACCTTTACCAAGGGACCTAAGGTTCTTAGGAGCTGGCATCATAGGAATTAACCTGGCTTCTTCCTCTCCTTACAGCTGTAGGTTTCTCTCCCTAGTTCCTCCCATCCAAATTCTGTTCCATAGGTGTTCCTATGTTGTGGTTTGGGGTGCTGGGAACCCCGAAATACAAGAGCACAGGGGGGTCTGCCTCAAAAGAATTCAACCACTCAAGCCTTCTTTCAGTCAGAGAAGCAAGGTTATATACACTCTGAATCACGTTCATTTGAAAATTTAAGCTTCAAATTCATCTATGTCAGAGATACTCCCAATTCTTTGGCAGGGGGTGGGCGGGGTGGGTACTTGGGGGGAGTGAGGAGGGGAGGAGGTCCAGGAAGATGATTTGTGGTAGTAAGCTGTTACTTCCACTTTCAGAGTATGTGATTGGTTGAGGGGTTTGAGAAACACAGGATCAAAATTTTCCTCCATCTATTCAAGGTTGGCTAACAAGAAGGATATTGGGGGAGAGAAGGCAGATTTTTGTTGAAAAAACGTGTGTATGTTTGTTTGTTTTTTTAAGAAGGATGTGAGAAACCCTGTTTACAACTCTAAGTTCAATCAATGAGAGCCAATGATTCAGGGTTAAGACTGGTGTTTAAAAAAAAAGTTTCAGAGATTAAAATTTACATTCCCTTTGGGCAGAGTATGGGCAGATAAGGATGTGATACCCTATATGAACAGAGGGAAGGGAAAGAAAGAAAGGAAAACTGTGTTGCCCAACTAGCCAGTTCCAGTTTGGTCCCCAGTGGGCAGTTCCTTTTCTACTCACAGAGATTGTCCTTCATTCTTGAAGAGAACCATGACATCAGGGAGGTGATGCCATAACATGGAAGTGAATTGGATTTAAGTGAGGGAGGGCTGTGCAAAGTCACCAGCCTCACCCTCTCCTCCAGAGTAATCTGGGTCCAGTGGCCTGATATAGTGGACAATTGGAGATGTTCCCCTACCTGACTCGTATTCTGAATACTTATTTCAGAAAGTGACCTGTCTCCTTACTAGAATGCTCAACCTCTCACACCACAGCTAATTAGTCAGATATATTCCTTCATGCCCCAGCCACCACCCCCACTAGTCCTTAGCCTACTTGAAAATCAGCCAGTCCTATGCTATTCAATTTGTTTCTATAACTTCTCTGTCATTGTAGAGGTAGTAGTGTATTTAGCTGAGAATCAGAAAGCCCTAGGTTCAAATTCCTGGCCTCTGCAGCCTACTAGTTGTGTGATCCATAGATGAATCAGTTATCTCTCCTTGCAGCCTTAGTTTCTGCATATAAAGATTGGACTAATTATACCTATCTAATTAGATTATTTTGTAAAGTCCCTTAGCCATGTAATTTTCAATTACTGGTTCACCTTTTTTTTTTCTGTTGGTTCTCATCCTAAACTTTGCTTATCACCACCACCACCACTACCATCTTCAATAAAAAACTAAGGAATTGAACTGGGAAGTTAGATTGAAGGTGATAAATTCTACTGGAAATCAGGAATGAATCTATTGGTTTCTCTAGTCTTTGGGAGTGATAGTTCAGGATGAACATAGTAATAATGGGTTCCTTACCATTCAAAAAGATGCTAGGAGGGCAGCTAGGCGGCGAAGTGCATAGAGCTCCAGCCTTGGAGTCAGGAGGACCTGAGTTCAAGTGTGACCTCAGACACTTGACACTTAACTAGCTCTGTGCCTCTGGGCAAGTCACTTAACCCCAATTGCCTCACTAAAAAGGAAAAAAAAAAAGATGCTAGGTATACACCCTCCTAGGGATAGAATAGTGAATCTTAGCTTACTCCACTTCCATATTATCCAAACTGGAACATGATAATTTGTTCTCCACTTAAAAATACAGAAAAATGGGGGATTGGGGTGAGGTTGAAAAGAATCTATTAGTTTTATTGACTATTATTAACTTCTGGTAAATCTGAGACTTTGAGAAGAGCCTTTTGTTGGGAAGATTTGACTTCTTTTCCTCTGATTAATCTTCAGTCTGCCTTTTACCCTTTTGCTCTTACTGGGCTCCAATCTTATGGGCAACTCAAAATTCCTATTTTCTTTTTTTAATTAATTTATTTTGATTTATCAACAATCACTTGCTTCTGAGTTTAAAACTTTTCTCCCCCCCTCTCCCTACCACCCTCCCCAAGACAGCTCACAATCTGATATAGGCTATACATATACATTCCTATTAAACATATTTTCACATTAATGATGTAAGAATTAGAACCAATAGGAGGAACTACCAGAAAGAGGAAACAAAACATAAGAAAAAAATAGCAAATAGTATGCTTTGATCTGCATTCAAACTCCAAAATTCTTTCTTTGGATGTGGAGAGCATTTTCCATCATGAGGTGAGATGTCTTAGATCCTTGTATTTCTGGGAAGGGTTAAGTTTATCAATATTAGTCACTGCACAACGTGGCTGTTTTGGTGTACAACGTTCTCCTGGTTCTGCTCACTTCACTCAGTATCAGACCATACAAGTCTTTCCAGGTTTTTCTGAAGTCAGCCTGTTCATCATTTCTTATAGTACAATAGTATTCCATTACATTCATATACCACAACTTGTTCAGCCATTCCCCAATTTCCAATTCTTTGCCACCACAAAAAGAGCTGCTATGAATATTTTTGTACATGTGGGTCCTTTTCCCATTTGTATGATCTCTTTGGGATATAGCTCTAGAAGTGCTATTGCTGGGTCAAAGGGTTTTTTTTTTAGGCAATTGGGGTCAAGTGACTTGCCCAGGGTCACCCAGCTAGTAAGTGTCAAGTGTTTGGTCTGATACCACATTTGAACTTAGATCCTCCTGACTTCAGGGCTGATGCTCTATCTGCTGCACCACCTAGCTGCCCCCCAAAGGGTGTTTTTTTTATAGCTTTAGGTATAGTTCCAAATTGCTCTCCAAAATGGTTGGATCATTTCTCAACTCCACCAATAATGCATTAGTGTTCCAATTTTCCCACATCTTCTCCAACATTTATCATTTTCTTGTTTTGTCATCTTGGCCAATCAAAATTTCTATTTTCAAAAGTCTTTTTGAGCACTGAAGCCTTTCTTTTTCTGTCTTGGTACTCTTGACAACTCTGACTGGGCTGGGAAAGAAACTTGGCACCCACCCAGGCTCTTGGGCTGGCCTTAGTTACTTTCCTTCTCTGTTGTTACAGTTATTCTGTCAGCGGATTGTATACAGCTT